CACACACACACACACACACACACACGTAACACCTGTTTTGATGAGTTGTGAGATTCAAATGAGAAGTGTGTCAACACAATAACAAATATCTTTAATGCTAAAGCAGAAACCACAACAGCATGCACAAAAAACATTGTGATAATGCTAACATGAGAACTGCATTAAGACTAGAGAGCATGACGTTTGCAATGTGAGAACTGCAAGCTACACAGCCAGCTCACTACACTTTGTTTTTGGTTTCGATGGGATGCATATTCATGCCATTTCTCACTTTGTCTGATCTCCTGTTTGAATTGTAAAATACAGACTCACCCATGCATTGCTCCCTTTGTCGCTTTGTGGATTTACTCAGCTCCTACTGTTCCTGCCAAGGACTTGTTCATATACACACTGTCAGCCTCACCGTGAGTATCTTTCTTTCAGTTTGAAAAGCTGCCAAAGCTTCAAGCAGCCAAAAGAACAAAACAAATTATGTGCAACACTTAGCAACATTTCACCTGTTTATTGTTCTGTCTCATCGTATCCGCATAAATATAAATACCCCCCATTTAATCCACATGCCATCTTCATTTTTGCTTTATTTAAATCTTGTACAGAACAGTGGACACTGAATATATATTAGCTGACTATATCTGCACAGAGTCACATTAAAGGAATTATACATTCAAGTGCATTATGACTGTTTTGAGAGAATTGTATCCATCATGTACCTCATTATGTCTATTTGTTTCAGTCTTTGTGTCAACTGGATTAGTGTTCCTCCAACTAACAGTTGTGATTTTCTTGGCAATCAGTTTTATTATACAGAGTACAGACCCCAACTATTTTGCTGAGGAAGAACTCCAAGTGCAAACACTATAGGATCCACAGGAATAACATTCAACATTTCTTCAATCTCTTCTTTTATATCCTTCCAATACCTCTGGAGCACTGTTCCACAAGACATGCATAAAGATCACCTATGAGTCGGCAGTTTTTCCAAAACAAGGGCGATGGAGAAGCTTTACAAAATGTTCAGATTTTTAAAAAACACACATTTTGATCCTTCAATCAAATTCCTTCCATATATTGCTACTAATGGGTTTGTGATTATTCATGCATGTGTCCTCAGAGTCCAAATTTAATTAAAGTTCCCACTACTTTTTTGTTGTTGTTGTTGAGAGTGTTTTCTGCAATCTTATTTACTAGCATCCTCTATATGTGCGAGAATATGGTTCTTAGCAGATATTTTCCAGTTCCAGTAATAAAACATTGTTCAATACCCACTGCTCTCTTCAGCCTTGGGATATAGTGCCTTAGTTGTAGGTAGCAAAAGAAAGTAATTTGGGGAAAGTGCAAATTGGTTTTGTAATTGAACAAATGATTTTATTCCCCTACTGTCAAAGAACTGGTTTATTATACTATTATGCTTCCTTTAGAGTGCCACTGTTTGAATCCAATTATCCCACAATGATGGTAGGAGATCTATACTACGAGCAGTAGGCATCACTCGTGATAAACATATCCTTTATTCCAAAGTTTTAATTCAAGAAGGGCAGGGCTGAAAGCTCCACACGAAATATGTAATAAATGTTTGTGGTTTGGCAAACATGTCCTGTCAGGAGACTTGTTTTTATGGAAGGTATGTGATGGGAACTGTTTTTACATAATTACATACAACATGGGAATAACTGATGGGTCTCATATGTCATACAAATGGTTTCGTATCTGCTGTGATTTAGTAGTATTTAGTTATTGAAATTAAATGCCATGACAATGTAATACGATTTTGAAAGAAGAGCCATGGTAAAGAGGATTACTTAAAGGCAAACTGTGATAATCTCATCCGGTCTCACTCAGTCGTGTAAAAAATGAAATATTCCTGTTTTCCCTCCAAAAATAATGATTTTGTTAAGTCATATGAAACACAATAAATTCACCTTCAGCCCTCAGGCTTTCAAAAACATTTGAGCAGACTCAGACTCATTTCCCATTCCTGCTTTTCTCTGCAGATTAGGTGGCAAAACCTGACACGAATTCTTCCATAAAGTACTCAGAGGAGGTTTGCAGAGTGCTAAAGCCCCCACAGCAACATTTCACATATTAAGTGCTGATTGGATTGACAAGGCGAAAGTGAAGAAACTGGGAGGGAAGAGTGTATGGAAAAACTGCCCTTGCACCAGATTTAAATGCAAGACTTCCATCCCTACATCAATCTGAGGCACTTTTAAGAGTTTGGCCATGATGTCAATAAAAAATAATTTTCATTGTGCAGAGCATGACATGAAGAATACGAAAGCAAAGGGTTGATGTCTGAAAAGAGGTTGGAGTGCACTGCAGTTCCACAATACCAGCAAAACAGAACTCGGTGTGACAAAAGAGCAGCTACATCAATCAAAAAGAAACTAAATTCAATTCAATTTTATATTCTGTTTTATGCATTTAGCACCAATTCACAACAACAGATGACACAAAGTGCTTTAGAATTGCAAGGTTAAAGAGCCTAAAAGTAGTTGAGGGATGAGAGGAACGAGAAGGGGACCAAACATTCACTATAGGAGAGTGGACAAGAAGTGCTCAGTGTATCATGGGTTGTCACCCTGCACCCTGAGCCA